GGGCAACTTAAGGAAAGGAGGTTTCGTTTTGGCTCTCAGCTCACAGATTCAGTGCATCATAAGGGGGAAGCCATGCAGAAACCTGAGATGAGATAGCACTTGTGTGTCAGAAAGCAGAGAGAAGATTGCTGGTGCTCAGCTTGCTTCCTCCTTCTTACTCAGTCCCGGCCATGGAAGGATACTCCCCATATTTAGCAAGGGTCTTCCCACCTACCCCAGTTAAACTAGTCTAGATAGCTCCTCGTGGACATGCCCAGAGATTGGTCTCCTTGGTGATTTCAGATACTGTTAACAAACTATTAATTATCACATTTGGGTTCCAAAGTCCAAATCACGGGTTTCAGAAACAATCTGGACTGATTTGGGTTAATGTTGGGGTTGGGTTGGCTCTACAGTGCTGTGGGGAGCCAGGACTTCACACATGCTAGATGAGAGCCCTCCAACAGGGGCCACACTCCAGCCCTGGAACACTGAGTCTTCAGCACTTACTGCTTACCCACTATTAACAGATGGCTTCACAGTGCTAACTGGGACTCAAAGCTGCCCAGATGCTGGAGTCTAGGCCACCAAGAACAAATGTGTGGTGTGCATATGCAAATTAAACACAGACAAACTGTGTTTCTAAAGACAGACACAAGAGAGCACGCTCAGGAGTTCCCTTCACACTGGGACGAATCACAATATTTGGGATCCCCAAGCAGTCATAGTATTGAGAGAAAGTTTCTTCTTCTTGGCCCTGATACAAAGAAAAGTTGCACAGATGCTCACGTTCTTCTCAGAACTCGTGAGCTAATGATGCGTTCTCAGTGTTCTCATCCCCAACCCTGATACATGGCACAGCTGCTGCCAGGTGTCATAATTTAAATATCACACAGCTCGAGTACTGACTACTTGGTCAACTAGTGGTGATGTTGTAGAAGGCTGTAAAACTCTAAGGTGGAACCTCGACAGAGAAGACAGATTATAGCCCTGCCCTGGTTCTGGTTAAAATGCTATCAGAGTTGAGGTCACAGCCTATTTCCTAAGGAGCCAAGTTCAGCCACCCATCCTTGATATGTCAATTAAAATGAATTAATATTGAAAACCAAAAAAGGGAGATTTATTTAATGTAGCAACACTGGAATGGGTGACAAAAAGGTCCAGCAACCTCTCCTCTTTTTTGCGTCCTTCTTTAGGATCCTAGAGTGAGGTTAAGGTCTGAGTCCCCAGGCAAGGAGTGGCCCGTCCAACACTATCTGAACTCTCCAGCAAGTGGACTGGTAAGTCTCAGCACCGTGTAAACCTCTCCTGGGAGGCAAGTTCCTCCTACAGATAGCACCAAACCTTTTCCCCCCAGCATTTGATTTTTGGGGACTTCCAGCTTTTAAGAGTCCATTGTGCCAATAGTCTGAAAGAAAAATGAGGGACACAAGTGTCTCCAAAAGTATCTTCACTCCTGCCGGGCCAGTTGGAAGAGCTCTGCAGTGGGTAGAGATGTGAGGAGTCTCAACTGCTCCACCGCGCTTCCCACCACGACTAACCCTAAGCGAAAATAAACTCTTCTCCTAAGTGCTTCCTTCAAGTACTTTATCACAGAAACAAAAAAGCAACTAGTGTACCCGTGATCAGTGGGTGCCAGACATATCCTAACCAGCCCCACCACAAGGCCCGCCTACAGCCCTCCTTCACACTATAACCCCACTCCACCCCCCTCACACTATAGCCCCACTCCACCCTCCTCACACTATAGCCCCACTCCACCCCCCTCACACTATAGCCCCACTCCACCCTCCTCACACTATAGCCCCACTCCACCCCCCTCACACTATAGCCCCACTCCACCCTCCTCACACTATAGCCCCACTCCACCCCCCTCACACTATAGCCCCACTCCACCCTCCTCACACTATAGCCCCACTCCACCCCCCTCACACTATAGCCCCACTCCACCCTCCTCACACTATAGCCCCACTCCACCCCCCTCACACTATAGCCCCACTCCACCCTCCTCACACTATAGCCCCACTCCACCCCCCTCACACTATAGCCCCACTCCACCCTCCTCACACTATAGCCCCACTCCACCCCCCTCACACTATAGCCCCACTCCACCCTCCTCACACTATAGCCCCACTCCACCCCCCTCACACTATAGCCCCACTCCACCCTCCTCACACTATAGCCCCACTCCACCCCCCTCACACTATAGCCCCACTCCACCCTCCTCACACTATAGCCCCACTCCACCCCCCTCACACTATAGCCCCACTCCACCCTCCTCACACTATAGCCCCACTCCACCCCCCTCACACTATAGCCCCACTCCACCCTCCTCACACTATAGCCCCACTCCACCCCCCTCACACTATAGCCCCACTCCACCCTCCTCACACTATAGCCCCACTCCACCCCCCTCACACTATAGCCCCACTCCACCCTCCTCACACTATAGCCCCACTCCACCCCCCTCACACTATAGCCCCACTCCACCCTCCTCACACTATAGCCCCACTCCACCCTCCTTCACTCTGATAACCCATTTTTCCCTAGCTTGTGGACTATTCATTCATTGACTAAATTGGCACATCCCTGTCCTGGCAGAACTTAAAAATATATTTCCTCAAAGCTTGCTTATCATTTGCCAATAAAAAGTTCTTGACATAGGCAGGACACAGCTTCTGCCTTCAGGGACTTGGTATCCACTGGAAGACATCTGAGATGGCTATTCTTGGTTTTCAACTTGACTACATCTGTAATTAACCAAAACCCAAGTGACTAGGTACATCAAAGGGGTTTTCTTAATTACATCACTAAAAGTGGAAAGACCCACCTTCAATCCAGATCTTTTGAGATGGGAAGACCCATCTTAAATCTAGGCCAAACCTCTGGTGGCAGCCTATACAAAAACATGGAAGAAGGAGGCGCTCGCTTTCTCTCTCTTTGCCTGTTTGCCCTTGCTCTCGCTGGCAAGTCCATTCCTTAATTGGCATTAGAGCATATTTCTTCAGGATTCCAGTGTATACTGAAGACCAGCTAAGATACCCAGCCTTGTGGACTGAACAACTACTAGATTGTTGGATTTTCTATTGATAAACTGGCTCTGTAATCCCCACTTAGACACACAGACAGATGGACGATAGATTCACTCATTCATCCTATCAGGTATGTTCCTCTAGAGAACTCTGACTAATTCAACACCCACATGGGTTATCACAACCCTGCAGGTGGGAACTGTTCTCACTCCACCACCACTCTAGGAACTCAGTATTCAGGCACTGCCACCACCCAACATTATCTCATGATCCCACAGAGAAAAGCATTTGGACAGAGGTCTCCTGGCCCTGGTTTCTGATCCTTCCTTGCCAGCCTGTCTTGTCAAACTGCAGCTTGCCTTCCCCCAAACTCAACCGAATTAAAACTCAAATTGTTTGTCCCATCGCTGTTCTTCTCTTACTTAGGAACCAAAGTTAAAAAACACAAGGAAAATGGTAGCCTGGAGCTAGAGGTGAGACTCAGTGGCAGAGCTGTGCTGCTCTCCTGACCTCCATGCTGTGGCATGTGTACCTAACCACCCCCCACATGCACACACATGTACAAATAAACAAAAAATTCAATAACTCTTGATTGATGATAAACACGGAGGCACAAACACATGCATGCATGCTCGCACACACAAACATAAAAAATTAAATGACTCTTGATAAATGTTACACAGAGAGACACACAAACATAAAGAAGCTACTCTTAATAAATGTTACATATGCACAAATACAAATAAACAATGACTCAATGTCATTATTGCCTAGGTGACTTGCAAGATGGATATTCTAATATTAAACCATCATTTGATGCTAACTTTTCTTTATAGTCAAGGATGACCCTAGAGTCTGGCATATACTATGTATACACTTCATCACAGATCTACACCCCAACTTTTATAACTGTGAAACAGGGTTTCACTAAGTTGCCCAGATTGACTTTGGACTTGTGACCCTCCTGCCTTGACCTCCTGAGTTACCAGGATTACAGGTATGTGCTACTGTGACCACCATTCTATTAAGATATGACTGGATTCAACTAGGTAATACATCTCTAGAATGCATCTGTATATGTGCCTAAATGGCACATGGGCATGCCTTCCTCTGTATTGGTACCTTTGCCAGGCTTCTCTCAGGGTAGCACACACTTGAACCAAGACAAAGGTAAGAGCAAACTCTCCAAGGAGACAGCTAGTAAAGGCTCTCTGTGGGGTCCTTAGATAGTGTCTGGTCATCATCAAAGTCAGCCACCTCCTCAAAGCCACTCTACTATGTTACATCTTTCTTCAACTGTTGCAAGTCCCTTCTGGCAGTCCACTCCTCTTCCACTATGATGAGTGGGATCTGACAACAGCCTACATTTACCAGCACAAGGTTGTATATGGATTTATTCCTCTCTGAATCTTGCACATCTGAGGTTAGAGTCTTTTCTGTGTGTGTACTAATTTCATGTTCATGTGTGTGGAAGCCAGGGGACAACCTTGGATGACATCTTCATAAAGACATCCATCTCTTGAGACAGGTTCTCTCATTGTCCTGGAGCTTATCAATCAGGGTAGCTGGGTCCTCTTGCCCCTGCCTCTACAGTGCTGGCTTATAAGAGTGAGCCACCACATTGTTTTTAACATGAGTTCCAGGATGCAGCCCCAGGTCTTCAGGCTCATACAGCAACCGTTCCCTGACTGGGAACGGTTCCTTTGTTCTGTGTTCCTTTGCTTTTAGTGTTACACACTCACGCTTCTGCTCCTATTTTCTTGCCACAGGTGCCAAGTATTTTAGCTAAGTAATGCTTTTCAGAGAACCAACTTTTCCTCCACCATCCAGTGCTCTGAATTTATCTTTGTGTTTTGTCTTTCTGGATCATGTGCTGGCTGGCTGCTGTGGAAGGCGGGCCTTCACCTCGACAATGCCAGAGCAGCCAGCATTCGAGATAACCACAGCATCAGATACTGGGGTTGTGGGACCCACCTGGGCAGGCCTTACCTCAATGAGCTTCCTCTCATAGGAGCTTGCTAGCTCCTCAGCAACTTCCCCAGGCTTCTGTTCAGGGACTGTAACTTCTCCATCAACATTCCAAAGACTGGGCACAACTTTAAGAAAAGAAAAACACTCAGGTAAGTGTTTTACCATGCATCAATTACTCTCTGCTCATTTTAATGCATGTGTTTAACTTATTCAATATTTATGCACATGTGTATGTAAGTACACAATTTCTCCAGTGAGAAAAATCTTTATAAGGAAAACAAATCACAATTAGTAATTACTTCATCACTCCAACACCGTAACACAGCACAATAAAGCAAGGGATGGTACACAGTCTTCTGATGTGGGATGTCCTTCTGTGTGTTGCAAATATGTGTTGTTTTTTATTGGTTTATGAAAAAAGCTGTTTTGGCCAATGGCCAGGCAGAATAGAACCAGGTGGGAAATCCAAACAGAGATATGGAGAGAAAGAAGGTGGAGTCAGGGAGATGCCATGTAGCCACCGAAGGGATAAGATGCCAGTAAGCCACATGGTGATACACAGATTAGTAAAAATGGGTTAATTTAATTGTGAGAGCTAGTCAGTAATATGCCTGAACTATTGGCCAAACAATTATAATTAATATTAAGCCTCTGAGTTCAGGAACTTGGTGGGGGGATCTTCCATTTACAGTCTTCTAATATAAGGGTTAAGGATGGTACACAGACTTCTGATAGAGGGATAAAGGGTGGTACACAGTCTTCTGATAGAAGGGTTAATGTGTGAGCTCTCAACTGATGCCTCTCCTCTGCCATCTTGGACTCTTATCTCACTGACACCATAAACCCAATTAAGTGCTTTCTAAGATGCTTAATCAGGGTGTTTTAGCACAGCAATGGAAAAGCAGCTAATACAGAAGTAGAACTAAGAACAATCTGTAGAGTCTCAACCTTCTTAATGCTGTGACCCTTTAACACAGATCCTCATGTTGTGGAGACCCCCAACAATAAAATCATTTTTGTTGTTACTTCATAACTGTAATTTTGCTACTGTTATGAATTGTAATAGAAATATCTGATACGCAACCTCTATGGAAGAGGTCATGACCCACAGGTTGAGAACCACTGCCTTAGAAGGATATCCAACAGCCTTGAGAAAGTCTTTGAGACCAGGGCATCAAATCACTGCAAGGGTATGCTACAGTAAACTGCCCCCAAGTCATGATGCACAAGGCATGGTCACCCATAAGTGCCTATTTTGTGCTGAAGACCAAATAATTAAAAACTGAGAATGAGCCAAGAAGCTCTAAAGACACTAAGAGACTAAGAAAGATAGGGGTATAGCACTGGACCAAAAAAAGCTCAGTGACACACTTTACAAATGTGGACCAGGCTCCATTCCCAGCAGATGCTGACAGGTACAGGCCTTGAATGCCCATTAACCATAATGGGATTAAACTAGGGCAAAAGAAAGGCCTGAGGCAGCCCCAGGTAACAGGGAATGGCCTCCAGAACTGCAGTACAAGCACTGGCATGTGGTGATATCTTGCTTGTACAGATAAGGCCTGTTTTGGGGTCAGAGAAATAGCTTGCCACTAGCTAACCATAGAGGTCTGAAGGTCTGTACAGACAGATAGGAAGTGAGGTAACTGGGCAGAAACAGGATATAAGCAGGGAGAAACAGGAAATAGCTCTCTCGTCTGCTGAGATGCTAAGGAGGTAAGGTGTGCTGTGGCTTGCTCCTTCTCTCGGATCTCTCAGCATTTTCCTCTATGTGTGACTCCAGCTTTTTATTATCTAGACCAATTAAGAACTCCACTTACACTGGCACCCTCCAAACTTCACATGACCCATGGCTGAGTTTCAGGCAGCCCAGTAAAACAAGTGGCCATCAACCATAACTGGGCAGCCTATGGGAGAAGCAAGACCTTTGGGTGGCAATGAAACACCCTGCATTCTGAAACTTTAAGTTGATTTTAGCCACTGCAGGGAATGACCAGTCACACCTAACACTTAAGGTACTTGGAGAAAACTTAAAGACTCCAGTAAAATATGATTCAAGGAACATGTTAAATTCATTTCCTTTAAAATCTCATTAAAGTATGAGTTGGTTTTGTTCTAAATAAAAAAGAAAGCTGTAGATGAAATGAAACAACGAACATTATAGAAGCTGAGACTCAAATAGGTAAAGAAAATTTCAGCCCTGGATACAAGTACCTGACTTGAATAGAATGCCTCACAGAAGACTGCACACTGCCAGCAAGATACAATTATCTGAGAGGCAAACAGAGATGGAAGCCACCAAGAAGTCTTTTGAGAAGCTGCACTCAGATGTATGCTCTGAGGAGAAGCTAACAGTAGATCTGGGCTGAGTCCAAAGTTAAGAGAGTTACTGAAAACAGAGAGGTGAAGTTATTCCACAATGACCTTGTGATACTCCTAGTTTCCTCTCCTCTCCTCAACCCTACTTGTTCCCTGAATAGCAGGGACCCATCATACATCTCCTAAGCAAGGTGACAGGAAACTGTCCTCCTGGGAATCGGGAGGAAAACCTGAAGAGACTGGTAGAGCTGTCACCAGGAATGGCACAGCCAGGTAGTCCTGCCAAGAAGCAAAAACTAAATATTCACAGTGCTTCTACCAGCTTTCTAGTATCCTGCCAAGCCTAAGGAGACAGCCGGATATCACCTTGCCTTGTGACAAGCACTTAGAAGAGAGGAAATGTGTAACTTGTATGTAGGGGAAACAGCCTAGCTCCAGGAAAACATTCCACCCAAATACCCAACATCTCCAGGGGCAAAGAGAAGGCCCACATGGAGCAAGAAGAGAGTGATGTTCTAAAGAATGAAAAGCACACAAAAGGCAAAGCAGTTCTGTTCAAAGGAAGCCATGACAGCAGAAATGGGACACTGCCCACAAGGGGAAGGGATGGGAACATTTCCAAAACCAGAGGCAAAGACCCCAAGATGAAAATGGAAGCACAGAACTGCTAAGAGGAAAGGACAAGCTAACCCAAAACAGGGAATCAAAGACCTAATTCAGCACTTTACCAGACATGACTATCAAAACTGAATAGCAAAGGGCACCCAGCACAATGAAGGGAATGAGAACACCTTGGGACCAAGGAGAGCGGGAAAGAGGTGGCAGGCCCCTGGAATGGGATGGAGGGTTTTCATGATTGCAAACTAGAAATTGCAAAGGCTTCTTGAAAGCAACATGGCAGGCTAGCAAACAATGAAGGATGCCTTCAACACCTTCAGGGAAAAGAGATTTGATCTAAATTATGTACCAAGCAAACCATGTGAGACACATAACCCATGAAGCGTTGTCCCCACTTAAAGAAGGAAAATCTAGGAAGAATAAAACACACAACCTAAGATATAAGGAATCTAAGACAAAAGTGAGTCAGATAATTGCTCATAAAAATCCAAACAGTAGAAACTATCCAATGAGCACCAACTAAGGAACAGATAAGCAGAGCAGTTCTCCTGGTGGGTTATTACCCAGCCAAGAGAAAGTGGAGGCTATTTCATGCTGCACTATAAAAACACCTTGAAAGCACTGTTCTAGGTGAAAGAAGACAAACAAAGGTCACACTGCATGAGCCCACTGACAAGAACTTTCCGCAGACATAATCAAACAGGAGCTGGGGAAGGAAGCATGAAGCACGACTGCTAATGGGTATGCAGTTTGTTCTAGAAGGGGGATGAGCATGTTCTAGAATCTGTGATGATGGATTAACAATTTTTTAAATCACAGAAAAGCAAAAAATAAAAAAAAATGAAATGAAAGGATTGATTGTACAAAACATAAACTCAGTCTCAAAACCAATACCCAAGAATGGTGGTGCATGCCTGCAATCCCAGTACTCCAGCTAATACCCTCCCCAAGGGTCTAGCACCCCAAATGACCTTCAGATCTTTGTCTGGCCATGGGTATCTTTCTCATCAACAAAGAGCCCCTGCCCATTAGGAAGATGTGTCTTGCTAACTTACAACATGTCTCCCTATCTCAGCCATTAACCACTGGTCTTCCTCCAGGCTCCAGAGTATATTTAAGAAGAATCAGCAATATTGCACACTGGGCAAAGAAGACACGGAAATAGCTTTATTCAAATTGGACTCCACACTAGTTTTCCTTTTTGTTTGTGTGTTTGGTTTTTTGCTTCTGGTACTTTTTTTAAGAGAAAGAAAGAACATAAGTTGGGTGGGTAGGGAGGTGGGGGAGTGTAGGAAGTTAAGGCCTATAAGGCCAAGAGATGAGCCAACCTGGAGTCTGCCTGTCAGAGGGACTGATCATGCCTAGCCAATGAGGGGCAACCACGAGATGCTGCCGAAGGGCCTAGCAACAGGCACTGTCAGAGGTCCTAATTGTGCCTTGGCAATGAGGGGTGACCACAGGATGTAAATGGATTGGAATGCCTGAGTGTTGGGAGGGTACATAAGGTTCCCTGCATTACTAAACAAACTAGTCTGCTGTTTCACTTTCACCTGACTTTGGGTGTCTGTGCTGTTTGACATCACGCCTTCTCACTCCCCGCACCCCCAAGGGAGCCATTAGTGGAGGATCTGAGAAGAGTTAGGGAAAGGGAGAAAATACAATCACAACATGTTGCATGAAATTCTCAAAAAACAAAAAGTAGTTTTGTTTAACATGTGTGTGCACAGGAGTGGAGCACTGTTAGCATGTGTGCCTGCACAGGCATGAGCATGAGTGGTGTCAGAGAACATTTGGGAGTCAGTTCCCTCTCTCTCCACCATCTGGGTCCTGAATATTGAACTCAGATCACCAGGCTTGGGGAAGGCCACTTTCTCCCACAAAGCTATCTCACTGATCCAGAAATGGACTTTTAGACCTTCAAGGCTGGGGAAGACTCTGAACAGCCATGAGGATGTCTCAAAGACTGCACCAGGTGACCTTCTCCTGCTGGTCTGGTTAGCTACTGCAGATAAGCAAGCATGCCATACACTTCACTTCTTTGTGCAAAATAGCATCAAAACTGAGTCCCAGGATGCCACACTTTTCTAATCAGCCCACAGCCACTAATGTGGCACCTTAAACTAATCAAAAACAGAGTACAACAGACATCAAAATTCTGATGGTAAGAAGACCCCACACAGCAACCTTC